AGATAAATATAGAAACTCAATCCCAGCAGAAGGAAAGTGGGTAATAGAGGATGCATCCCATGATGTAGAATGGCTAGGGTGCGACAGACCATACTCAATAAGTCAACTACATCCAAAACCTCTTCGCTGAGTGACCCACTACACAGAAGGAAGAATCGAGGGAGAAAGATGGATAGCCCCAAACCTGTGTGAAGACTTATGTTGATTGGTTCACTCAATATCCAAAACTAGCCCATGGGGTACCAACATCTGCATGAGGGCACCCAACTGAAGGGGTGAACTGCATGTAGACGTCTCACTCTGTGTTATGTGTCACTCAATCTTGAGGACTTTACACCTTCTACATCAGCAGAACACCACCACCTTGCTCTGAACTGAATGGTTATAGCCATCTATGTGGAACCAATCCAGCAGGATGCCTCCTTGGTCAACCACCACAGCAGCTCGGAATTGGCAAGTGGTAAGGACTCCCATACTCCACTGGATGAAAGGGGATGGGAAAATGTGTTGGAGAGTCCAGAAGAATTGCTATACCTGAAACAGTGCAATAGGTGATCACAAAACCCTAATTTGAAACCAAACCATACTGATTTCTTCAACTGAGTTATGGCAGGGAGAGGTGAAACAAAGAGCACAAAGCAATGGGCTCAAATGGAGATAAAGTAAGGGAATGGAGTCCCATATTAATGTTCAATCTGGAAGTACCAGATGGCTAGGTGGCCAATGGATCCAGAAAGAACAGATCAAAATGGCAAGGACAGGAGAAAGAAAGACCCCACAGTAATGGGAAAAATGGAAAGCATGGGATAGGGTTGCCTGATAACCCAATATCGAGGAGACCAAAGACCCCTTCTCAAAAAGCCACATAAGAAACTCAGAGATACCAACATAGGACGAGAAGCTGAGATACCCTGAGCCAGGGCCCAGGTGTGAAAAACATTCCATTTCTGTTGATACACTGCCATGGATGAAGGATGAATGGAATGAGCTAAATGAGATGCTACCCAACATGAGAAACTGAATCTCCTCACCAGAGACTGGACAAAAGCCAAGCATGAAGATGGGGGATGCAGAACCAGCAACTAGGGTTGACGAAGAAGTTCAGGGAATAAAAGAAGAGGAATAGTAGCTGGAGTAATTGAGTAGAGCAGGCCAGTAAGGAGCAATTAGAAGGACTTTGAATGGATAAAAAAGACTACCCAATGAAGCAATCGGATAGGAGGGTAAATATAAAGGAACTTGATTGACCAATCCTGGCTGCAGGCATTTATAGCCAAAGCCTAAGGATGGGGAACCAGGGAACAAAACAAAGCTAACTGGTGATTGAGGGCAGTGGAAAATGCATTGATATGAGGAATATCCCACCGATCACAAAGCCACTGAAAAACAAGGATGAAGGGACAACTCCTTCGTGGAAAACCTGATTGGGTCAGGAAAGATGATCTGCCACAAGTTTGAAAGCACCTATGACATTTTTAATTTTAAAACAGCTCCTATAAGTAGACAGAATTTATCATTTATCAACATTGAAAATGTATTTCCAATAGATACTTACCTCCTCTCAGATATTAACTATTTGTGCAAAATTTTTTTGCTCATCACTAGCCTTGAGACTCCCATCTAAACTCACTTGTTTTCACATACTACTGCTACACTGTAGCATACAAATGAGCATGCAACAACCCTCCATCAATAGGAATGTGACACACCCTCCTCGCACAACTATACTGATTGTTCAATCACCACTTCAATATTAGGTAAGAAAGGATGCATTAGGGATGATGTGTGACAGGAGGTAATTATCTACCAAAAATAAATTTTCTGTGTTGGAAAATGTTAACTTCCAATACAATACCTTAGCTTTGCTAATATATTAGCTAGAATCTCACAATGAAGTGGTGGTGGGACCTGTATAAAAGTTATCTAGATGAGTTCCCTTTGGGAAGTGCCCAAAGAGAACCCGTGAAGTGTTGACACCCTATACCATGAAAAGTAAAGGGGGCACGCACGGGTATTTTTCTTCCAGTCCATGCTAGGAGAAGGGTCCCAACCATCTTCACCTCTATACGAAGAAGCAAACGGTTAAAGTAACCTCCATTCTACCAACCTAGGAAGTGCCCATGTGTGCTAACCCTGTACACATCCAGCACCAGGCCACCCAGGAAACTGACATCTGGGCAACATTAGAATGGTGGAAAGAAAATGTGGGTGGTTGATTCCAATCCAAAAACATGTGGCATTGAGAATTTTTCTTCTGTTCTATGGTAGGAGGAGAGCCCCAACCAACAACATGAGTGAGGACTATGTTAGCGAGTTCTGTGCCTATTCAACACCAGACCATCTGGGAACTAAGATCCAGGAAGCAGCAGGATGGGGAGAAAGCCAATCAGAAGAGTGAACTGTATGTGGTGGGTCATCTTCAGTCCAAAAAAGGCAATATTGGGAAATTTTCGTTATTCCTCAGTAGGATTAGGGTTCAAATCATCTACACAAACAGAACACCACTGCCCTACTCTCCACTGAGTGGATTAGGTCACACACAGGAGGAAGCCTTCAAATCCACCACCCCAGTAACTAGGATCTGGTGAATGGCAAGGACTCCCATACTCAACTACAAGGAGGGGGTGAAAGCATGTTGGGGAGCTCAGAAGAACAGTGCAATGGATGACCACAAAACCCTGTTTTTAAAATAGGCCAGTCACAGTTTATTCAACTAGAACTACAGAGATGGGCAGTTATCCCAACACTGCTTTAATCATGATAGTCCATGAGTAGGTATAGTCTAGATAGGGCCTTGTTTGGCAAATAAAGTAAGGAAACTTCCAGTGGCCTTGTGGAATACCCCATCTCACCAGTAAGCATTGCAGACCACACAAAACCCATGCATGAAAATGGAGTGCCGATGCTGCCAGATGTGAGAAGGAGGAATGAGGATGAAGGAGTATGGAGCATGACAGAGGTAGTGAAAAAGAAAGGAGAAAGTTCAATAGAGGAAACCATGGCCGAATCATCCAGTATGAAGCAATCAGGAAGCTGGAAAAATGTGACTATAAAGGTAAGTATCCGAGACATCAACCTTGGTCATCCACAGACCTGGACTGAAGGACCATCTGAAGGTGAGAAAATACTCCGTGGTAAAACAAGGGAGGTCAACAAAGCAATTGAGGTTCGAAAGATCTATAACTGGATACTAAACCCCTGTTTTCCAGGGATGATGTACAGAGGATAATAAAAATCTGGAAAAAGAAGGAAAACCCAATCAATAGCATCTTTTGCCAAGAGATCCAACACTGCTTCGTACAGATGTTTGCAAAAAACTGGATCCCAAGGAGAGGGGAAAAAGATGGGAACAGGAGACAAAGGAGATAACACTTGAAGGACCCAACAATCAACTGCAAGTTGATGCCACAGGTCTGCAAACTGAGCCAACCATGCACCTACCATACCAGAAGAAAGGAAGCTGGAGGACAGGATACAGTAAGATGTGCAGGAGAGGCTTGCAATAAACAATAAACTAGAGAACAAATGGAAGAGTGTTGGTACACAGCCTCCATAAAAGATTCCAGAGAACCCCTAAAAACAGACTAGCGAAGGAAACAAACCAAACAAAGGTCCCAGAGGTAAGAGGCCAGTGAATGCACTTCAGAAAGTAGGGCATCCCTGTCTAATAAGTCCCAACAACGAAGTCACTATGTATGGAGAGATAAAGCAGAAATAGATAAACATGCCATCGTAGAAAAGAAACAAGAATGATTGTCTGCTGAAAATCCTTCAGGTGAACAGTGGATAGCCTCAGAAAGAAGGTGAATAGAAGAGTTATTGTAATAAAGTAGTAAGCCAGAGACAAAGATGAGAAGATTAGGATAAGGACAAATGAAGAGAAGATAAGGGATCTGACCCCAAGACTTGAATAAGCAAACCCAAATTCTGAGAGTCAAGAACCCTAAACTCAGCCCACTGATAGATCAAGAAAGGAAAAATGAGGTATGTTGGCTCCAGCATGAAGGTGAAAGAGAAACTGACCAGCATGGACCTGAATATTGGTAGAAGGAGTGAAAACAAAAGAATCAGTAACAAGGCCAGAATGCAGCAGGGAAGGGGAAGAATCAAAGAACACAGAAGCAAGGAACAAAATGTAATAAACCTGAGAAACCTTATCCAAGAAGGATGAGAAATGGACCAGAAAGGTGCAGCAAAATCAGATGGAGAAAAATGGTTGTCAAAATCACTATCCTCATGAATCAGATCCACAGGTAAGGGAATTTCTGTCTCCAGGTCACAAGATGGATCAGGCTGCATGTAGGTCTATAGACTCACTATGGCCGACACCTTTTTGACAGACAGAGATTAGCCTGATGCCATTGCTGTAGTCTGTCCAGCATGAATAAGATCTTGTGGATCCATGCTAGACAAAGTAGCATTAACATCAACTTATGAGTTCATAATGTGGAAAGGAAGAAGGAACAATCAAAATAATCATTCCACAATCCAGATAAAGACAAAAAGAAAATGTCAGAAATTGAAGTTTAAACCTCTGGCAAAAAAATACATGTCTCAACAAGTGAGTGCAAAATTGAGAAGTGATAATTGTACAATCAGAATAGATGGAATCACCTCTACTAGAAGAGTGTGTCACACTACTGTTGTCACCTTCTCACTTGCATGCTACAGCACAGCAATAGCACATGAAAACATGAGAGTTTAGGTGGAGGCCTCAAGCTAAGTGTTGAGTGAAAAAATTGCAAAATCAGAGGGCAGCACAAGGAGGTAAGATATAGTATCAGAATTTGGTATCAGGGAGTTTTAATTTTAAAGTTAATATACAGACTTTCAGATATCACTATTTTCACATTAATATTTTTCAATTTATTAATTTGATAAAAAAGTTTAGGTTTTATTTTAAATCACCAAATCATTCTTTACATTAAAGAATGCATTCATAATAATTAATAAATGCTTCAAACAACTTTTGTGAGTTTCATATAGAGAAAGAAACAGTGTTATATTGATTATTACATTCACCTGTTTTGGCATGCTCTAGTTGTGATTGTGCTGGCAAGTACAAAGAATCCTTCATGTGTTTCCATGGGGTGTCCATGATATCTTCTGGACGAGGGAAGGTGATATCTTTCACTTCATGAACTTCAATCACTTGTACAGAAGCCACTGTAGAAAACAATCGTAATAAAAAAAAGGTGTATAATCTCAACTACGCAGATCACTAGTCAAACCTGTCTGTTTTACAATGTACTGCTTATTTATAGAAACTAATTGGTAATTATGGTATTATATGTTCTGCCAGCACATCTAATTAGTTTGATAATGAAGCAATTCATATGTTGTACTAATATACATCTTATAAAATCATTAAGATAAATTAAAAATTATATTTAACTCTCCATTATTCCACGCATGAAAATACCAGTATTTCAAGAAAAAGAATGAAAAAATGATTCAACAAAATATATGGGTAACATAGTATGTATTTTTTGTTCCAAATTTTCACTTACATCCTCTGTAATACTATTTTATGTTTAGAGCTTAGAAACAACTTTATTAGTAGGTCAGAATGTGTAAAAAACACAAGAGGGTTATACAATGACACACAATATTTTGAGCATAACAATTTTAATTCAAGTAGAAAGGAATAAAATGTGCAACACTAACAGAATGTGTAAAAAAGACAAGAGGGTTATACAATGACACACAATATTTTGAGCATAACAAATTTAATTCAAGTAGAAAGGAATAAAATGTGCAACACTAACAGAATGTGTAAAAAAGACAAGAGGGTTATACAATGACACACAATATTTTGAGCATAACAAATTTAATTCAAGTAGAAAGGAATAAATGTGCAACACTAACAGTAAATATAATGTTAAAACCTCTGTTCTCTAGCAGAATATAACAAAATGTGCTAATATTATGATGTCACAGGATGATCATTTTATTAACCCGATGACAAAGCTGTAATATTACTCTTAAACAATTTTTACACAACATATCATGTCATGCTAATTTATAGGATTAAAAAATGGACAAATTTATTCTGTGTTTCAAAATATCAAAATGTCAGCGCACAACAAAAGTTAACATTTTCATTACCAATAGGTACTTACCTCTCTCCCACAAAGCTATATCGATCATCTTTCTGCTCTCCTAAGTATTACTAAAAAATTAACACTCAGCTCACCAGTCTACACACCCCACAAATTTCGTGCTACTTTTAAACATGTATATAGCATGTGACCACCCCCACCAATATTAATGCACCATCTATATTGAAATTTATGTTAATCAAAATCTTTATATACCTGAATTAGATATGGCATTTAGAAAAACATTCCAAGTTGCATGGTTTTCAACATTACAGATGTTTATATATATACACACATTTAATATAGTAAACAAGAGAAACGTACACAAGTTTTTTTGAGTACGTCGAAAAAGAGCTCCTCCTTTCTGCATATCAGCCAATAAATGTGCATTCTCTTGTAAGCCTAGTAAGAGATCAGATGCCACCAATTTCTGCTTATCATGAGGTAATTCTTGCCATGACTCATCCTGCATCTGGTCCAACAAGTTGTTTCCAACATCAACAACAGACTAAAATTAAAACAAAGATATTTAACATTGTTAAATATATATACCTTATATTGTTACAAAATACATAATAACAGCTTCGTATAGATAGTAGTTCTTACTACATATTTTAATGACATTCATTTTTATGTACAGTAACAGAAATAAACAATTTTGAAATAACTATTACAGGAGAAAGATTTGTTACATAAAAGCATCGAAGCTTAATTAGGTCTACAGACTTAGAATCAGATGAACTATAAAGATAGAATACAAATATATAACTACATACACTAGTATTTGGTGTGCAAGCTCAAAAATTTCTTTAGAGCAGGATTTTTGGTCAACATACTGTTACAAAATTTATTGATGAAAGTACATCTTTCATTAATATATTCTGTAGCATGTCACACAAGTCCACATATCTTGGTTGCTTCACAACCTGCTCTTTATTCCTGTTAGTCCAAAATCATTCAGATCTGAACTCTGTGCAGGATAAGGAATGAGTTCTAACATTCCAACTACCAATTTCCTCTCCTAGTAGGTTCTCACCACATCAGTCTTATGCCTAGGATCATTATTCTGTCGAAACACAATTAAGTGCATTCCTAATGTAATGCCATAGTTCACTGGGATCTGTTTGTACATCTTTACTGTCAATATTTCATCAAATATCACTAAGTCTCCAATACTGTTGTAGGAATTACCACAAATAAGCTACATAAATTCACCCCTATATTTTTTTGTAGCTGTTGTACATTGGTAGTGGTACTGTTCCCATTTTTGTTTTTTATATGTTGCTTTTCTTTATTGCTGAATAACTTAAATTGAAATCATTAGTAAACACAGCAGTTTATCAGATCTGTTCATCCCACTATTTCATTTCCATCGCCAAATTTCAGCCTTTTCTTTTGGTTCTCTCGACAGCAAAGGTTTCTATACCACCACAAGCTCATTAAGGCTCTACTGGGCCAAATTGTTTCTTACAGTCCTTTTAGTGACTGAGACACCTGTATTTAAAATGAGGTTATTGGCTAGTGTCAGAATTTATAATATAATTCGTCTATTTCACCAAATAAAAGGCTTTTACTTATACTTCTTAATAGTATAAATATATACAGTGTTGTTGTTGGGCTTTGGATTCTTCTACAATAGATGTCTGCAACTTGTTGGTGATAAATTCAATGTTAAATGAACAGCACACACTTCACTAGTTTACAAAATAATATATATATATATATATATATATTC